TACTAACCATAACATTCTGAAGATGAGAGAAAATACTGCAAGGGATTTAGGTTTAGAAAACAAAACACACCTGTAATCCTAGCACTCTGGGAGGCCAACGTGGAAGGATTGCTTGAGTTCAGGAGTTTGAGACCAGCCTGAGTAAGAGCAAAACCTGTCTCTACTAAAATAGGAAAAATTAGCTGGGCACTGTGGTGTGTACCTATAGTCCCAGCCACTTGGGAGGCTGAGTCAGGAGGATCACTTGAGCCCAAGAGTTGGAGATTGCAGTGAGCTAGTAGATTGTACTACTGCACCCCAGCTTGGGTGACAGAGCAAGCTCTGTCTAAAACAAAACAAAACCACACCACACCATACCATATCACAACCTCAAGAATTGTTATCAATAAAGATTAGAATTCGTTGAATTGTATCCTAGAAGAACTGGAACTTGCAATAAGGACCACAGTCTGATTTCTGATCTAAGTCTTTTAACTTTTCCAGAACAAAGGTATAACGGGCTAAAAGAAAAATAAAGCCCCCAGTGTAACCAACGTAGAGGCAGAAAGGAGCTTTTTTTGTCTTGATTTAGAAGGAACAGGGCAGAAGGCAAGGGTTATCATTCTGTGGAGGGGGAAAGATAACATTCTTGGAACACAAATCTTTTTCCGTTTAATGTCAATTCCTTTCAGGGCTGGGCAGCACCAAGCTAAACACCTACTCCTTGGTAGCAGTGTAGTAAGTGCAGATGCTTCCATTTTCCATGTGACTCATAAAATGAAAGCGGTAGGAAAGAAGCACTCTCAGGGGCGTCTCTCTAAGGTTCTCCCCACTATCCTGAGCACTCTTAATTGTCATTGCCCATTGTCAGATATGTCAGTTACTTTTCATCTGTACAGCAATTCCCAGGTGTACTTAGCTGAGAAACAGAACAAGGTTAATTTGGTATAATTATAAAGTGTTTCTGGAGACAGAAAATGCCTAATCATTATATTTTTATTTTCTGTACTTATTTTTTAAGTACTAAAAAATTAACTATTAAATAACCCAGATTGGAATTTTGTTAGCTTGATGTCAAACTTTATTGAATTACAAATTCCAGAAACATGCTTTTGTTTTAAAAATGTTTCCTTAACTCTTTTGGACATTTCTATAATTATTAATTTATGAAAGATACTCATAATAGTAACAACAAGGTCATTTCTGGAAGTTCTTCTGAGGTTTCTCTGCATATAAATACACACTTAAAGGATCTTCCAGTACAGGTTGACTATACCTTATCCAAAATGCTTGGGACCAAAGTGTTTCAGATTTTAGAATAGTTGCATTATATGTACTTCACAGTTGAGCATTTCCTTTGAGTATCAGCACTTGGCCTCCCAGAGTGCTCCCTCCAGTGAGCATTTCCTTTGAGTATCAGCACTCAGAAAGTTTTAGATTTTGGAGCGTTTTGGATTTCAGAGTGTCTTCTGACTTAACTGGGACTTTATAAGCTATTTGGAGCAAGAAGAAAATGGACAGGAAACCTTGGGTAGTTGAGATTATGTGAACAGGTAACAGAGGCAAATTGGACTTACACATTTATCCCTTTGTTTTCATGCTGTCTAGAATATCAGTCTTCTCATTTGAAAAAGTATGTTTTGTTTTAGATGTACTTTTAAATTTTGTTTTCTTTTAATAGATACTTTATCACCTTTATTGTGACCAAGTAACATTTGTAGATTTGTTTCTGTTGGTCTTTGCCAGGAAATATGTTTTGCTGGGAACACATTTGCTGGGAAATAAACATTGACTAAATAGTTTTACTTTTGATTTAGTAAACTTAAGAACACTAAGATGTTGTTCCAGATGTTGACCTAATTTCCTGTATGTCCAAATAGGAGTAATAACTTTAAAAGAGTCAATTTTTGTTTCAGTATTCTTATCAGAATAAGGATGTGGAATGCAATTTTGTTGTACATATTGGTTCATATTTATCTATTACCTCATTCTGCCTCATTTTCAGTTTTGGTGTTCATTTTGGATTGATACTTACGTTTTAGTGATCCTCAAACTTAAAGGGTGAATAATTACTGCTCTCCACATTTTGCAAATGAAACACATCAAGGCACATACAATTGTGTTTTTCCAGTAAAGTACTGCTACAGCCTGTCAGACACTGGCTAGACATGATTCTGCCCAACTCAAGGTCCACCCTACAAAACTTCTAGTTACTGGGCCATGTTGTGGCCTAACCAGCCTCTGTCTGAACCATAGGGCTTCTCAGCGTCCCATTTGAAATCTCTGCTCTTTCTAAAATTATTTAAAAGTTAAGAGATCATGTTTTAGAACATATCCCTAATGCTTTTAGAAATGATATTATATAATATTTATACTTTTTGTGGCCTTTTATTTTTTTCTTTTTTACTTAAACTCATGTTTCTTTGACTTAAACTTCTAGATCAGGGGTAGGGAACCTTTTCATGTTAGAGGGCTGCATTAATTTAGCAGTAATCAAATGAGGCCACATTCAAGAAGCTTCAATAAGATAAATGTACATTAAAAATGTACATTATTTTATAAAAATCTAATTACTATGTACTTAATTTCAAAAAATGAAAACTATTTGTTAATTTTAAAGTTAACTAAACTTTTATTGACTTTGTTGTGTCTGCTTTTTGTTGGAAAGCATTTGAGTATTTGGTTGCAGCATTGGAGGTCTATAGTTTCAGTTCATCCTCTAGATGCATATCAGTCATTTGTGACTTTAAGGGTGTCTTGATTTGGGTTAGGTAGGAGAATAGATTGGCAGCAATAAAGAGCTATAAGTGGTTAAAAAGCAAGAAAGCATTTTGGGGGCATGTTGCTGAAGGCATGGGTATTCTGCATTTTTTCATATTTCAGTTGGATCTTTTATAGCATCAAACAGTGACTTTCAATTGTCATCTACTGAGAGCTCAATCAGTTCCATCTGTGGTTCTTTAGATGCCTTGGTGATATCAACCAGGTGAGGCTGAAATGCTCATTTGAGTGTGATGTCATGATTCTCAAAGTCAGTGACTCTTTCATTGTATTCTCCAATTAATAGGTCTGTAACAGCTGTGTATTCTTGAGGTGATTCACATCATTCTCTTCGGTGACCTTTGCTAACTGGAGAAAACATTCATCTGAAATTTCTTTTTGAAGAAATGTTTTGGAAAAAGATATATTTTTTCAAAATGCTTGGAGTTTTTGCCACATATCATACATATATGAACTTACTTTTATCTTGCAACAAAATATTCAAGTTGTTTGGCCTGCTGCATTCCTATAGAAATCTTCTTTCAATAATTCCCCTGTTTGATTCTGTTCTTCGTACAATTCAACTATTCTCACAAAGATAAAATTTATGCTAAACCTGTACCTGTGATAGCCAACACACTTTAGAATGATAAAGCAAATACACACTGAATACCTCATCGTTCAACATTAGCATGTTACCAAACTGACTATGCTGTGTTGCGTTTGTTCGAATATAGTTAACAATAGTTACAACTTGTTGCAAAGTGCCACTTAAAATAGTAGCTTTAGCACAGAGATTTTGCTGATGCAAGATACAATGAAAAGAAATGATAGCTTCTGGATCTGTGAATGCACTAAACCCTTCATGTTTTCCTATCATGGAAGATGCACCGTCTGTACATACATTCACTAAATTTACCAAATTCAGTCCAACTTCATGACATTTATGTTGAAATTTGTTGAAGATATCTATTCCTCATGTTCCGTTCAGAACAGTGCCCAAAGCAAGTAACTCTTTGTAGCAAAGAAAATCTTCTATTATGATCCGAATGAAGTATAAAACCTGTACCAAGTCAGTAGTATGAGTTGATTCATCCAGAATGACTGAATAATATATATTTTCCTTTTGGAGTATTGCATGAAGTTCTTCTGTTGAAGTCTAATTAATGCTGCCAATCAGTTATGGTTATCCTTGAAAGAGGCAGTTGTTTGTATTAATACTTTGAAACGTTATCAGGGTCTAAGCGTCCTACAACTTCAAAAGTGCATTCTTTCACAATTTCTACCTCAATGCATGGCTTCCTTTTTTTCCTGAGTATATAAGCTACTTTATAAGTTGCTTCAGTGGCATTATTTCCAGGTCTTATTGCTGCTTGAAAGAATTGTATTTGCTTTTGCTTTTCATCTGTTAATTTCTGCAGTACAACCCTTTGCGCCTCCCCCTTTAATTTAAAATATTTGTGGTCCTTATGAGTGTTACAGTACTCATGAGCATTCAATTTCTTTAATGTCGATATTGCAGGTATCACAAAGCAAGCAAATCATCTTATCTTTAGCAGAAACAAGATAATATTGCAATTCCCAATCCTCATTTAAAAAATCTGTTTTCTTTGACATCATGAGCTGTTACACAGACAGAATAAAAAATACTGTTGAGCTGTGCAACTATTCAGTAATTCCACTTCAAACAGAAACACAGTGCACCATTGCCAAAAGCTGATAACAGACTGGTGTACTTGACCCCCACAAACTCTGCCAACCAGCCTGGTGTGGTAGTGGCGTGCCCGTCAGGCAGGGGAAGTGAGAACTAAATCACAAGCATAGCAGCTGTCAATTTAGCCATTATGGCTTATTAATGTTCTAATTGTGCTGGTCAATCTGGGAGGTTTATTTCACTGAAATTTATTCTTTGATATTTTAAACATGTTCATTTAAAAAATAAAAATATAAAGGATTTGTTCTGTAAAATTTGGATTCAGTCAAAAGACCACACTTAAGGACCTAGAAGGCCACATGTTCCCGGGTCTACATGTAAGTGTGTTGTCTATTTTTCAGTATGTTCCCAGTATATATCATAACACATTCTCTAAGAATGTCATATAAGTATTGATTTAAGAACATTTTTACTCACAAGTACTAAAGAGATATAAATTGTTTTCACAGTACGTTTTGAAAATATTCAAAATGATAGTGAAAATGGTACCTATAGTTTCATTAAAAGAAGGGATAATATTTTAATTGGTAATCTTTATTTCCTTTAGGGTTTAATGAAGAAATTTATTCGATGTTCTACACGTGTAACTGTGGGAACTATTAAAAAATTTCTAAGTTTAAAACTAAAACTTCCAAGTTCTTATGAGGTAAGTTAAATAGTATTTAACCTTGGTCATTTTGATAATTCTGATCTGAAGTAAAATTCTAGCAGAAGAAATGAAAATTAACTGAGAATATATTCAAATTTTTGTGGTTATTTTCATGTTAAAATTTTAATTTTAGAATGTATTATTTATGTAATATGTGTTTTCTGATTTAACATATCCTGAGTAAAATATATGAATACGTTGTTTTTTATAACTAGAGATATTTAAAGAATTTAACATTAAGTACTCTCAAAATAAATATACCAACTAAATGGATTGTTTTATTAATGCCAGTATGCTTTCAAAGTGTTTCATTTTTTATCTGAGATCTTTGAGATCTATTATTGCTAATTCTTTATAGACTTTTCAGAATGTAAAACATTGTATTTTTATCAAAAGGGATTTTATAAATAATCATATAGTTCCATGATTTGCAAAGTGATTTTGTTTAGCACTAGGTAAAACCAACATAGTGCATTTGAATAAATGCAATGTACCAGTATTTACAGGAGAGGTAAGTTACCCTGATATCAATCACAGCATCTTTTTAATGTGCTCAATGTTCAGAGGATGTTTATGATCCTGGGGTATGGCTATAACCCAGTGAGGAAATATGGCTACTACTTATCACCTGCACAAATGGAAAAATCTTACAATTTTATTAATTTCTTCCTCCCCTTTTGGTTCTGATAGTAGCATCTAGAACATTAAAGACCAGGACTAGTTTCCTAGGTAAACAGAGACATCAAAGGCAACATAGTTTTTCATGTTTATCTGCAGTAATATGAATATCATAAAGGGTCATAGGAGAAATAAAATGTGACAGGATTTGAACATAGACATTGGCAGGCATTAAGTCTAAATCTTAAGGGAGCGTCTATTCCTGAACTTATTTGAAAATTTCTCTCAGATGACTAGTCTATGGATTAAAATTTTTTATTATGGTTTGGTCCTACAAATATTAAAAAAAAATCCAGAGACATCAACTTTTGTATTAGGAAAAACTTGTGAAAGTACAACGTGAAAGATTTACTTGTTTTTGAAGAGAAACCAGAGTAAAACTTGTGAAACTTAACCATCAAAGAGACATGGACTAAGAAAGATTGCATTACATTTATAAATTATGTGTATGAACTTGATATACAGGTAAGTGGGACAAGATAAACAGTGCTTCATGCTATTTATGTCTGAATTGTTATGCTTTATGAGAAGGACCAGTGCTTTCAATAAAAGTGTTCAGTTCTATTCAAATAATGGAGAATACTTATATTTTGTTGTAACTATTTGCATCTTTTTGAAATCTGAAAATGTATAAAATAGTTATGAATTCTAAATTATTTGCGTTAATCTATAACTATTCTTTTTAAAGTTGGATGTGCTGTGCAATGGTGAAATTATGGGGAAGGATCATACTATGGAATTCATCTACATGACAAGATGGCGACTAAGAGGCGAAAACGTAAATTGCTTTTATATTTACATGTGTGTAGAATTATATATACCATTGTGTTACTCAAATTTAACAATATTACTTAAGAACTAAAAAGGCTAGTTTAGAAAGGAGAAGAACTGGTTGTTCTTATTATTTCTCCCAACACTCTGTGAAAATTGGTCCCAAGTACAAGACCAAGGTCTTGTGTTAAATGTGGTTTTGTTATATTTAAGGTGAGATTAAAATCTCATCTAAATATGTTCAGGGCTCTGTTAACCTCAAGACAGAAGATGACATATTTTTAAAAACCCAATAAATTATTAGAACTTTTAATATATGGGGTGGAGGTGGGGGAGACTAAATTCTACCCTGACTAGTCTGATTAATGCTTGATAATAGTATTTATTTTGGGTTGTGATAGAGGGGACAGATCGGGTAGAAGCTAGGTAATCTTTTTACCGGTACCTCCTTTACACTGACAGTATAGAATCGGACCGAAGGGTGAGTGAGTTTGCAGTGGTCTCTGATGCCAGAATTAGATTACTGTGCCTTAGGCCCTGGGCAATATGGGAGAAATGATTCAAAGGAGAAAGCCTAAGAAAAGCCAAAAATCTCAAAAGGAGAATTTTGTATTTCAAACTATGTCTTTGTTAGGGTTAATTCCATTAATGGGTTCAAGCACACCTAAATTATAAGTAACATGGGACGTCAGGGAATTTTGAGGCACTAGGGATCATAAGTTTGATATATAAGAGTAAGGAATATAGTAGTAATGCTAACAGAAATTCTCCTCATATAAACTGAGTGCATGAATAAACATTAAGATTTTGTGGATTTTATGGTACAATATGTCATACTTTTACAGTGTAATTTCTTTATTCTTTAACCTAGACTTTATTACATTATCTCATGAAAATGTAAATAAATTATAAAAAATAATACATTTAACCTCACATAAGGATAATATAGAATCCAGATATAATGAGGGTTGCCATGTTACAACAGCTCAAAAACATACTTTAGGTAAACATCTGCGGAACTATTATAAAACTATTATAAAAAGAGTCCCACCTGGATAATGCCTGCCTTCTGAGGCTGAATGTGCCACTAGCAGAAAGAACTATTTACCTTCTAGTACCAGTCACCACTAGCTGTGTGCTCTTGAATAACTCATCAGACACCTTTGCGGCTCGTATTTTTAAAAATCGAATTGTCTTTGTATTTGGTAAATTACTACTTGACTTTCTGTGATATTTTATAGTTTTTTAAAAGGTTGTACATATGTCACCCTCATTTAATCCTTACAAGACCTCTCTGCTAGTGCTTGCTTGTCCTTTACAAGATCCCTTCCCCACAGTTGCTCACACTGCCAGTTATTTCAATGCATAAAAGTATCTTAATGTATTAATGTATGAAAGAGCTAATTCATAGAAATTTTTATTAATAGACTGAGTTAAATCAGTCTTTATAGTAATTACATTTCTGATTACACATTTCTGAAAAGTTTAAATTCCTTGGTTGCTTAAGGCATATTTTAATAAAAGTTAGTTTAAAAAGTAATTCAATACTGTAGGGTTTATTGTTGCTGAAAACTAAACCAGTAAACAGTAAAATAATGTATTAGCCTGCCCTCCCCCTTTTTTTTTGGCGTGATGAACCTGTTTTGGGGTTGCTCTCCCTCTCCAAACCTGTGTTCCCCTCAGTCATCAAAATCTCAATAGTTGTAAGATTGGTAGCTTCATTTTACCAGTTGCTCACACCCAAATCTCTGAAGTCAGCCCTGATAGATCGCTTTATCTTTGTCTTTCATCTGCCCTTAGCAAATTCTGTAACCTCTACCATCAAAATCTTAACAATCAGAATCCTATGTCTCACCACCTCCACTTCCCCACTCTGGTCCAAGCCACCATCACCATTCTCCAGAATTACTATGAAGTCTCCTAGCTGGGCCCCATCCACAACCCTTGCCCCACCTGCTCTCTTCACCCTGCACAGCAGCCAGGGCGATAATCTAAAACAGGTTCAAGTACTCTGCTTTCCTGCTCTGATTCCTCCAGTAATGCTTAATGTTGTTTAGATAAAATCCAGAGACCTCTAGATATGGTTTCCCCATTCTCTCTCTGACCTCACCGTTCACTCCCTCCCTTGGGTTCACAGCACTCCAGCCACACTGGCCTCTGTGCCTCTGTGACCACTTGCACTCACCTCCCCAGGTATCCGCCTAATGAGCTCCCTTTACCCACTTCACTTAAATAGTTTTACTTCTACTCACCGTCTCAGTGAGGCCCCTGACCTCCCTTAAAATTGCAACGCACCCCCACCCCCAGTGGCATTCTTAATTCCTTTCCATGCCTTATTGTTTTCCATAGTATTTCCTACCATCTGACCTACTATGCCTCTTATTGGTATGTTTGTCCCCCAAGTAAAATGTAATCTGAAGACAGGGACAGCAGATTCTCTGCTGAATCTCCAGCACTTAGAGCAGTGCCCAGCACAAATACTCAGTATTTGTCTTTTATAAGGTAATAAATAGTTGCAAAATATATCCTAAAAATAATTTTCACTTATTTGAATCTGTTTCCCATGTGATTTCTGGTAAACACAATTTTGCTCAGGTTCCAGTGAATTATACTTGTAATAGGTAGATTCTGACAGTTGGAGTGACATGCATAAATGCAGCAGTAGCAGTAAAACAGTGATTTCTTGATTGAGCCCCCACTAGCATATTTACTGCAATCACATCCCTTCACACCTCTGCCCATTGCCAGCAGGATCCCAGGGTGTCCAAAAAGCTCTTATTATTCTATCTACGGACTAAGTAGCTCTGCCATGGGCTGGGTTCAGCTTCTTTCCTAAACTAATGATCACCACATGGATCTTTCACTTGCTTCTAGTGCTTTTTTATATTAAACATTTTAATCCACCTGGAATTGATTTGTTTACACACAAGGATAAGACTAATTTATTCTAAGTTTTTTTAACCAGGAATACAATTTATTGAATAATCCATACTTTATCTCATCATTTTAAGATGTCACCATTATCTGTGCAGATGTGTATATCCATGTACATATATTCCTTTGTGTATATATGTTCCTGGACATTGTTTTGTTCTTCTGAGCAGGTCTTTTTCTGTACCAGCATTACATATATTATATAGTATAGCTTTTATAAAAATCTAACCACATAACACCCCTGTCTAAAATCCTTCAGTTGTCCATTTTCTTTGAGATAAGTTTGGATAAAGTCCAAACATGTCTTAGAAGGCAAATATTTGGGCCTTCTAGGTTGCTTTATGATATGTATTAATACCTGTTAAGGCAAAATCTCCTATTATCCTTTTTTGAATTGTGTTGGCTACTTTTACACATTTTTCTTTCAGATAAGCTTTAGAATGAGATTGTGATTAGCATTAAATTAGATTTCCAATTTCGCTGAAATTGGCATGTTTGCAGTTTTTTTAATTCTGTTTGGTACTATGAGATGTCTCCTCATATGTTCCATACTCTTCTATCTCTGAGTAAATCTGTAGTTTTCTTTCTTCTTCATATTGGATCCCACCCTCTGCCCCTGAGTCTTTTGCCTCAGACAAGGCTGCTCCACATTCAGATCACCCCTTTACCTTGTCTTATTTCTGGCATCCTGCCAAGAATCTCAGGGAAGTTGATTTTGCCTCCACTTCTCAAGACTAGTGGGGTATCTCCCGGCACCTGCTTTGCTATATCCTGGGGCACTTCTATTCAGGCTGAGCTTATTTTCTATGGCCCCTGCCCTTTCTATACCCTTATCTCTGGGATGATGCATTTTTGAAAGATTTTTATCTTTAGGAATCAAAACAAACATCTCGTCAGACTTAGCTCTTAGGAAGTTTTCAGTTCATGACAGTATTGCCACCTCAAGATTCTATACTCAAGGTTGGCATTTGCTTATTAATGGGAAAAAATGTACCTTAAAAAAAAAAAACCATTGCCTCTCAAAATTTAATGCAAATACAAATCATCTGAGATCTTGGTAAAATACAGATTCTGACTTAGTAGATCTGGGATGGGACCCCAAATACTGCATTTCTGTCAAACCCCCAGGAGATGCCAGTGCATCTGACCTTTGGATCATCCTCTGAGTTACAGCAAATGTTATCTGTGACTACTGACTTGCCATGTGGCCTCCACATCTATACATTGAGAGAGTGGAATTACAGAATCTCAGTTTGGAAGGGATTTAGTCACCTAATCTGATCATCAGTCTAATACTTGGAACCTCTTTATAATATTCATGCCAGGGGTTATCACATTGTTTGAAACATAAGTAAATCACATGTATTATTCTACAACTTTTTCTTGATAGCATATCTTGTGGAGAATCAGTAAACTTAGAAATAATTCTTTTAAGCACATTGATAGTATTCTATTTATATGGCTGTAGCATAATGTGATTAACTCATTCCTTTGGTGAACATTTAGATTTTTTTCAAATTTTTTTTAACATTATAAGCAATGCTATGTATCTGTTCCAGTACATATATCTTTTTGTACATGTGCAAGCATATCTATTGGCTAGATTCCTGGAAGTGGATTTGTAAGAGTATGCATGTTTTAAATTTTGATACCAACAATTTCCTCTAAAGGTTTAGTTATTTAAAATCATACCAGTAATGTATAAGAGTGTCCGTTTTCTGACATCCTCACCAGCACTATATATTAGCAATTTTATATTTCTTCAGTGAATATTTTTTCATATTCCTTGCCTTTTTCCCCCCATCATAATGCTTGTCTTTTCATATTGACTTCTAGGAACTCTTTATGTATTCTGAATATGAATCTTTTGTTATATATGTTGCAGCTATTTTCTTCCAGATGTGTCCTGCTTCCTAGTTTTGCCTCAGCTTTTTGATTCTTGAAATTTGGGTAACAATACCTGTCTTGGAAAGTTTAGTAAGAATTAATGAAATATTATATACTGCAGTTCTTAACAGAGTGCCTGACATAATAAATGTTATTTTATTAACTCCTATGTATGCTAACTTTCATTATGATAATTTTTTCCTCTTTTATTAGTTCCATCTCTGAGGGCTTACTGTCAATATCTCTGTTTAGCCTCAGCTTTCATCATTGATTTATGTTCTTCCTGCTCACCTTTTCATGTTCAGATTGAGTGCCCAGTCTCAGTATAGCACCCTATGCCCAGATCATCCTGGTTGGTTTTGTTCTCTTACCACAGCCTCTCCATTCTAGCACCTAAAGTTAATACAAATAGAGCAAAGGAAGACAAGCTTGGTGCAGTATCAGGCAATTTTAGGAAAAGCAAATTCATCCATCTTAACCGATACCCAAGAGATTGATAGAAAAAAAGAATCACTTTAGTGAAATTGCCTCTTTCACCTTAACTCTTTACTCCATTTAATGCTATTTGGGACTTGCATTGTTAGCAGAGTCTGATATAGACCAGCACAGGGGGACTCTTCAGAGAGAAAGGAGAGGTTGCCAAAGGATAGCAGTGCTGGGCGTTCCTTATAGTGTGTTGATGAGCACTGTGCATGAAAACAAGGACTAACTTCCAAAGAAAAAATTGCTAAAGTCTTTTGTGGAAATAGAAAATTTCTAAAATTTTATTTAAAAGGGTACAAATATATTTGTCTTAGTCATTGCTTACTTAAATAATCTTTCAAAGTATATTTTTACAAACCTACTCTGGGATGTTAGAATCATCCTGATTAATATATACCTCACATTTTTTATGTACTTATTATTTTTTCCATTTTGAAGAGTATGCAATGTTGAATTCATATATGAATAATTTTAAAGTATACATGTTATGTTTTATAGTTCCATTTACAATTAAAATTATATTTAATAAGTGTTTAGCATACTATTAAAAAATTAAAATTTGGGAATGATTTTTTAATGTGAATGGTTAAACTGTTTTATGGTAGCGGGTTTACAAATGAATCTACTCAATAACTTTAAAATATATTCACTCACTGATTTACTCATAAAACATTTACAGGGTGGCCATTGTATGGCAGTTAGCAGCCATTGTATGGGCCTTAGCTCCTAAGACTGCAAATATGAATAAAATATGTGTTTAAGGAGCTCGCAATATAATGCTAGATATGGAGACTAAGAATCTAATCTGCACAATATGAAGGACCTAAGATACAACAGAAAACGGATCCCTTAAAGGTTGAGTGAAGTTCTGTGCCTCTCTCAGAGCACTGGTCTCCTTGAGCAGCACTGCTTTCAAGGGGGGTAGTTGAAAAGGAGCTCTGGGAGAGATTGATCACAGGAAGGGATGGAAGAAAGAGGGTGCCGCTGTGTACTCAAGAAGCAAGGGTTTTTCCCAGGAATTAGTATCTGATAAGTATATGGAAAGGGAGGGTAGGCCACCACTTTGGTATTTGCAGAATACTAAACAGAACTCATATCTAAATGCTAAAATTACTTCAAGCTAAACTTAACCAATCACTAAGTTTTTAAAATCTATATTTTTTCAAAAACAGCTATCATATTCTTGGAAAGTGCTTATTTAAAATTAGCATGTTGACTCTTATGTTTGACGTTAAAATATTTTAAATCAGTTTTAAATATGTATCCAGTTGTGGATGCCTCTTATCTGATGAGTTCATCTCCTCCGCAGTTTCGGTGTCTGAACTGCTCAGCTTCGCAAGTCTGCTCTCAGGATGGCCCTTTGTATCAGGTAAGAGGCACTCACGACTGTACATATGACCATCATGATGCCATGACGGTGATCGCTCTCATCCCAAAGCCAAGTTTCTAAGACATTTAATTTTGTAAAATTAATAGTTATTTGAGCTACAGAAACTTACCTTTTTGACTTATATCCCCAAAGTTTCCCACTATTTTAGTTTTCCTGAATTATCTAATTTTACTGAACTAAAAATAAAACTGTAAATGTTAAGGCCATTATTTACAAGTTAGGCCAGCCCTTGAGAAATATCTGCTCCATATTGGATTGAGATGTTACCTTCTTTGTTTAAATCTTATTATTTTTTTTATAAATCTTATTATTTTTAATGAATCATTCATCCATAGTGAAATATAAGATGTGAAATTAGGTGAATCTGAATAATAGCAACAGATAATTCAAATTGTAAGCTTGGTTACTAGGCCCTGCCTTAAGTAATTTACTTGAGTTACCTCTTACTAATAAAGTGATAGTGACCCTGTTTAATAATGTACTGAGAAAACTTGAACATGTATCAGAGAAGAGTTTAATAAACATTTTAAAAATTTGGAAAATAGAGACTAAGGTATAGTAATGATTATTGTTGGATACAGAGATAATTGATGATCATCTTTAATCCTGTGGATTAATCATAGCATTTCTTTAAAATATCCATTGTTCTTTTATCTCAATTATTAAAGTAATCTTCATCCTTATTTTTTTGGTGCCAAGAAGGGAGGATTGTAATTATGTAACAAACTTAACTAGCAAACTTCCTTCTAGTGTTACAGTTTTGGGGCTGGAACACATGAATCACCTCAAATCAGTGTATCTAGAATTTTCCTCAGTCTTTTTGTCAGTGCTATATGGGAATCTCCATGCCCTTATTAAAATGTGAGTTTTTGATACACACTGTTTATAAAAGTCATAGTTTTTCAGCAATGGAGAGAGTGAATTTAACATTTATAAAGACCAAGAGAAAATAATTGGAGGAGAAACATTCTTCTCTTTACATTAAATAATGTAACTGAGCTGGTGATATTTGTGTATATCTGAAGTACATAGATATTTCAGCTGCTTTAGTCTCATAGCTGATTTTGGAATGATGAATTATAGTGACCCCTGCCTGTAGCTACAACCCATACATACATGGTTTTCTGCTTTTATTCTTGGTATTGATATTTATGTATTTCCTTAGAAATGACCATGTCCTTAAATCATGACCCCAAAGTATTAGAGAACAACTGGAATAAGAACAAATTTCCAAATCCACACAGATTTCCTTTTCTTTCTTCACCTCATTAATGGATTGAACTCAACAGTTAATAGGATGCACTCTTCCTCAAAAGGATACCTAGATGATTTTATGATCACATTCTCTCAAATTTTCAAGGAATGGATCATTCCAATGCTATACATATTGTTTTACATTATTGAAAAAGATGGAAAGGTAGCATATAAACATGATAACAAAAACTGGCAGAAAACCCACAATTAGACAACGAGTAGCATCTCTCATTTTGAATATAAATGGAAAGATGGTAAAATAATATACTAGAAGAAGAATAAACCAAGACCTAATAGTGTTTTTCAGAAATGCAAGAATGGCTTAATATTGGGGGATATTGACAAATATATATTATAAACATATTTTTATATACACAATGTCAAAAATCATCAGATGTTGAAAAGGCATTTGATAAAAGTAAATGTTAAGTCTTTATTTTTTTTTTCCTGCCAGCTCATTTTAAAATATATAAGAGAATACCCTTTACCTTTACCTAGATTCACCGATTTAACATTTTGGTACATTTTCTGCCACCTCTTCCCCTTCCTTCCTCTTCCCTTATTAATATCTCTCTCTCCCCTCCCTCTTTCCTTCCTCCTCCCCCATATATATATAAATACATACACACACACATTTTGGGGGTAGAACCATTTGAAAGTAAATCGCATGTATCAGGTCAGTTGACCACTAAATACTTCGGTTCTCCCCACAATTAAATTGTAAAGTTAAATGTAATTCCAAACACACTTTACCAGATTCTTGTTCAACTTGACAAAGTCAGTCATTCTAAAGTTCATCAGGAAATACAAACAGGTGCTTCTCTGGCCAGTCACATTTTTAAAAAGAGTAATGGCAAGGAATGTGCACTGTCACATACTAAAATGTATTTTAAAGTAATTAAAATAGGGTACTACCTTAAACATAAACAAAAAGTGCAGCTCAGGAACAGACTTTAGTATGTATGAGTCTATAAAAAAGAATATTTCAAATTAATGGAAAAAAATATTCATCTAACAAATGTCTGTTGAGCATTTAGTATGTGTTGGGCACTCTTAGGTCTTTGGAGATACAATGAACACAAATCTTCTCTCCCATGAAACTTACACTTAAATGGCAGTAGCAGGCAAAATATAAATGAGTAAAATTTATAGTGTTGAAGGAAAATTAAAGTAGATAAATAGAATATTTTTGATAAGACAGCCAAAGGAAGGCCTCTTTGAGATGGTGATTCTTGATCAAAATACAGTGAGAGCAGTTGCCTTGTGAATTTCTGGCATAGAGCATTGAAGGCTAGGGGAACACACTGCAAAGGCCCTCACATTAGGTGTAGTTGTTTGAGAATTGCAAGGGGACCAGTGGAGCTGGAGCCACAACATTGCAGGAGAAGGCAGTTGGTATAGTGCACTCAGAAATGGAAGTGTAGGGGGTGAGATATAGATCTAGTAGGGCTTGCTTTCAGTTAACTGTACTGAGACTATTGTGGTGTGGGGGGTATTCAATATGTAACTCACGTTATACATCAGTGTCAGTTTCTGATGGCTTAAGGTGGTAAATATTTAAAATAATACCTTAAAAGATCAAGAAGAAAATACAATTGAATAACTGATCTCAAAGTATGGATGGCCTTTCACATTTTACCTAATACAATCAAGTTGACTCTTCATATTGAAATAGTACATGGCAAAAATATCATAGCTTAGGAAATATTTGTGATATATTATAGAGGAAGATTTAATGCCCTTAATACATAAAGAATTCATATAAATCTGTTAAGAAAAAGCCCACCTTTCCACAGAAAAATGAACAAAGGGCATGATCAGGAAAGATACAAAAGAAGGAAACACAATTGACTGATAAGCATTTAAAAATGATTAACTTTTTTAAAAGTCAAAAAATGAAAAAAGATAAAATACCATTTTTACACTTATTAAATTGCCAAATTAAGAGGGAGAAAGGATGGTACTTATAGAGGAATGGACAAATGTCTTTTGAAAATGTAAAATAGAACAACTTTCTTGAAGAACAGTGTAATAGTATTTAGCAAAAATCCTTTTAAAATGTGTATGCTGTTTGAACCAGCAGTTTCACTTCTAGAAAAAAACCTATCCTGGAGGGAAAGAAATAGGTCATTGGGTCAACATTAATGTATAATAGCGAAACAAAACAAAACAAACACTTCAATGTACAGCAAAAGGTGGCTTATTGATAACTATGGTTCATTTCTATAACAGCATAATATATGGCTATTAAAACTTACATGGTGGCACATGCCTATAGTCCCAGCTACTCAGGAGGCTGAGGTGAGAGGATCATTTGAGCCCAGGAGTTTAAGACCAGCCTGGACAACCTAGCAAGACCCTGTCTATGGAAAAAAAAAAAAAGAAAGAAATTAAATAAATTTTTTAAAAAGTGTTCCTCTATGCTCCAAGTTAAAATCTCCCTCTGAAACTCTTTAATTATCATGTAGGACTATGTTAATAGTCCTACATATATTAATAAATGATGTGGAAATATGTTTATGGAATTTCTAAATGGACAAAATTTTGAAATGGTACAAAATACATTTAGCATGATTTCAGTTTTGAAAAAACAAATGTAGATAAAATGACTAGTCTTGTAGATTTCTTATCTACAAGAATACACTAAAATTATTATGGTAGGTAACTTTGGATGGTAGAATTTAAATAATTTTCCTTTTTTCTTGGTACTTTTCTGTATCTTAATCTATAGTAAAAACAAGTTACTTTTATGATAAAAACTATAATACATCAAAAACAGTTTTATCATTTTCTAAAATTATCACATTTGAAATGTATTCTTTGGAAGTATCTGTTCTTTATTACTATTGAGGACTAGGAACCATGAACCACAGGTCCATTTGGTGCAGTCCCTTAACACTAAGAGGTAAAGGGCGATCATATTTCATTACAGTGAACGCAGTGCCATTTTATTTCAGAAAGCAAATCAAAACAAAAATAGAACTTAAAACATATCTTAACAATTTTCAGTGTTGTGACACATTTCAGTAAAATTATTAAACTTCATATGTTCTTATAGAACAAACACAAATGGTTACTTGGAGGGGAAAACAAAATTATTTTTAGCCAAAAACTGAGAAAGTCCCAACCATTGTCAGTCAAGCCATTTTACTCCCCTCTGTACCTTCGTCCCTAATAGAATGGATGATGGACACTTCTAGGTATGATTAATGTGTTCTAAACAAGGGACTTAATTATCTGCAGAAAGTGTGCAAATTCAACAGAATCAGGAATCAAAAGCAAATCCAGAAAGATGATGATAGTGAAGGCAAGCTGCAGGTTGAGTGAGGTAGAATGGAAATTAGTAAAGACATCCAGGATGTCTGTGTTAGTGGTCTCAGAATGTGGCTGGGCTTCAGAAACACCCACAGAGTTTAGCAGAATACACACTTCTGTGCCCTGCTCCCAGATATCCTGGGTTGGAGGGGAGTGAATAAAGTTTAAAATGAAAACAAGAAACAGAATAAAACCAAAGTAGTTTTAGACCATAGAAAACCTGAGAGACTGAGACTTTTACCCAGCCCTTGGAAAGCTGGAAATGGCATCTGCCATGCTACTTCAGCTGGGAGAGAGAGACCTAGGGTACTTGTATATTCCTACCCTCTAGTCCCATCCTTAGCTGAATGGTAAAAAAGACTCGAACGTTGAGTCTTCCCAGTTTGTAACATAGTTGTGATAAGCACTGAAATGGTCGTTTTCAGGATTGTAGAATCTCAGTCTATCTCTTTTCATCTTTATGAAAGAATACAAAATTCTCTGTACTATGTTTTTGTATTCATCTACACTAAGATGGGGAAACAGTCCTTGGCCATCTCAGCCCTTTGATTCCGTAAAAGTAGTTCCTCAAATTTTGTTTTAAAAAGGGAAATTTAACTGTTAAAATTTACACATGATCATTAAAACTTTCTTTTGATTGCCATTATTTTTCTAGAATCAGTCAAGTTTTCAATGATGTGCAGCAGATGTCAAGTTCAAAGACCTTCAGACATCATACTGGTCTTGTACATGACTAGTACTAGTGCAGCACGTTAGGGATAGGCAGTCCTGTGGGGAACTGAAAGTTACATGCCCTACTCACTGGCATTCAACTACCGTGTTTCTCCAAAAACAAGACCTACCCATAAAATAAACCCCGGCAGGATTTCTGAGCATTTGTGCAATATAAGTCCTACCGGGAAAATAAGACCCTAGTGATGGGCGTGGCTACGCAGCATATCTGCACAACCCATGCATTTTGTCGCAGAGAGGTAAAGAATACGAGCAGCTCTTCTCATCTGCCCCATCGTGACAGCTACTATCCCAGAGGTGACTGGAAAGGTGTGGGCAGCCCCAACAACAAGGTCGGCACCCCCTCTCAGGTCCCGGCCATCCTGTGCGTGCTGCAAGCTGAGGCTTTGAGGGGAAAATAACACATCCCCTGAAAATAAGCCCTAGGGTGTCTTCTTGAGGAAAAATATAAGACCCAGTCTTATTTTCAGGGAAACACGATAGTAACACTGTGAGGCTAAGACAAGTCAGCAGGCTGGACTACACCAGAGCTTCTGCTATTGAGAGCCCACTACGTCACAAATTAACAAAGAGACCCCTACTGGGAATCTATGAAACTGGAGTAGTGTTCACAAATCACATTTTTTTTACAAGTTTGATACTGTTTTTTTATTTTTAATATTAAATTTTATTTTAATGGACCTTTAAAAAAATGTTGAAAAATAAGTAGCTACTTACTACATGAAATAAAGAGATGATAACTAGCATTTATCAGGAAAATCAGCAAGACAAAAATCAACCCCATTAAAAAGTGAGCAAAAGACATGAACAGAAGGTTTTCAAAAGACTGGACAAACTAATGACCAATAAACATATGAAAAAATGCTGAACATCTCTAATCATCAGGGAAATGCAGATCAAAACCACAATGAGATCTCACTTAACTCTAGTGAGAATGGCTTTTATCAAAAAGTCCTCAAACAACAAATATTGGTGTAGTTGTGGAGAGACAAGAACACTCATACTCTGCTGGTGGGACTGCAAAATAACCTCTAATAAAAGTAATTTGGAGATACCTCAAAGAACAAAAAGTAGAACTACCATTTGATCCAGCAATCCCACTACTGGGCATTTACCCAAAGGAAAAAAAGACATCTGCACTCAAATGTTCATAGCAGCGCAATTCACAATTGCAAAGATGTGGAAGCAACCCAAATGTCCATTGGTACAGGAGTGGATTAATAAAATGTGGTATACTACTCAGCCATAAAAAATGAACTAATAACCCCTTTTATTATCCTGGATGGAGTTAGAGCCCATTCTTCTAAGTGAAGTACCACAACAATGGAAAAGCAAGCATCACATGTACTCAACCATTAAATCAACACTTACGTGGCACATATGGAAGTAACATTCATAGGGTGTCGGGCAGGTGGGAGGGATAAATTCACACCTAATGGATATGGATGTCTCGAGATTGGGCATGTTTGTAGCTCTGACTCAGTGCAAAGGCAATATGTGTAACCAAAGCATTTGTACCCCCATAATATTCTGAAATGCAATGAAATAACAAAATGAAAAAATTATCCTGGTATTATCACTAGTACCAGGAAATATTGTAAATTATAACCCCAAACTCTTAGAATCTTTTGTATATAAGCTGTATTGTTTTTATATAAATAGTCTTATCTATCTGTCTTTATTTTATAGTCATACCCTATGGTATTGCAGTATCGACCAAGAATTGATTTCGGTTAGACCAAGGGGCACAAATCTCTGAGATGAATCCTGCACTGTTTACTCGTCGACAGATTGCACAGTTAATGGTGTGTGGAGTAGAGGGACACAACCAGATTTTCAGCATGCAAATAAGGCCATTGTCTATCTATAAATTGTCAATTACATTTATGTTGTTTCTATTAAGAGCAAACCAAGTGCCATTCTGCTACTGAACCGTCTGCATAGGGTATTTGTGCTGTCTCACAGTGTGCAAGTCCTAGCTGAGATCAGTTAAGTGTGCAGCCATGATTCAGCCTTCTGAATATTTTGCTTGCCTGTTCTAAGATTGTTCTAATGTTTAATTACACTAGTTAAAATGGCTCAATCTTTGTGGTGTTGCAGTTTTCACATACTTAGTATTTTATTAATTCTTGTTTAAATAGAGTACTGTACAAGAAACTAATAATTATCTTGAAATTGTTTTATATGGAAATATATTTAGAAAAGTGGTTTTTGAGCCACTATCCTGTTCTTGGTAAGCTTTTTGTGTAAAAAAAAAATAGTTAATTCTTGAGTGTGCAAGTCTGTTTGCAAAGAATTTCGATTATTTAACATTAGAGCACGTCATAATTGTAGACATTCTAAGCATCTGTCAGTGTAGTCTACTAATTGCACAAGGAAGGCATGTTAGCCCTCCAGATTGAAAATGTATGTGACTTTTTGGAGAACTGAAGTTAGATTCACAACCATTCAAAATGTTGGCAGCTGATCACATTTACTTCTAATAAAATTAATGTGTAAGTAAGGTTAATCTTTCATAATGCCTTATGACAAGTGGGTGCTGCTTCATGAAACTTCATTGTAAAGCCCATTTTATGTATGTATCATTACATTGTTGCTGTCATTTAATGAGTGCATTGTTTCTCTTTAAGTTGGCCTTAGGTACATGTTATTGTGGCATGCAGAGGGTTATGATTTTAAATATTAGGATTTTTAGAGCATATAACATTAGCTATTTTATGGATTTCAAAAGTCTCAAAACAGTTATAGATTAAAACTGTTAGTTATCTTTTACATTTCCAAACCATATGCATAAAATAGAATAAATGCTGTGTAGAAGATAAACATGTTAACCAAAATTAATGGTTTAAGGGTATTTTCTTTTAGATCCTGTACTAATCAGGAGGAAATGGGATTATCATTTTATACATGAGTTCATTAAGGTCAGAGCTATGATAATGTCTTGTGTTTTGCAGTTTTAAGTCTTCCATTCATTTTGAGGTTAGTCTGCAAGTCAAAGAAAGTCTTGTTACCTTTAATTATATTAAAAACTCCATTTAAAATATTTTAAAATTTATAGTTTTCAAAATATTTCTTTGGAAATCATTTTATTAATTACTTTGAAACAAATTAATCTTTGAAACTTAGGAAAATATTTGTTTTAGATATCTAACATGAGCACAATCTGTGTGTTATGCACTTAGTTTTTATACTAAATATGTGGTAAATGTGCTACATTTTCCAGCAAAATATATCACAAATTAATGCCTTCTGAATTTCAAAATGCTTCTCAGAAATAAAACATTGTACAACTCTAAGAAACATACAAAGTACAGCTAAATCTTGATACATTTCACAATATGAAGCTGAAACGTCATAACTGTCTTTTCCTTACATCTTTTTTTTCAAGTCAAAGTCTGTTAAATTTTTCAGTTATCCTGACTTTTGTGAAAAAGGTTATGGCAATACTTTCTTAACTTCATTTTGTTAGATTGTGTTTGTTCTTGGGAGTACTCACAAGCAGAATCTAAAAGGCAGATTTTTGTTAACTCTTTATAAATGGTTGGAAAAGACCATTACACTCAACCAAAAACTGAATTTGGATCTGGCTACAGAAATTACTTTGCTATGCTGTGAAACCCAGTTCCCAGACATCCTTGAGAATTTTTAAAAATTATAAATTTGTCACCTATAGGTCAGTGATTAATATAGTGTTTTGTATTTGGAATTTAACTTTAATTAACTTAATTTAGAGTGCATTTTTAAAAACCACAAATGAGACTTGGATGTTTTGGTTCTATGGCCAAAACTTATGGCCATAAATGAATTTTATCCACAAAATCCCTTTAGATTTGGCTCGTTGCCTGATCATACAAAATTTCACTATTTTCCAAGGAAATATAGGAAGTAATTATGGAACTGAGACTAGTTTTATATAAAATTGTTTATTTACTGTTAATGTATTAACATTTTATTGAAATGCAATGGAATATGTGCCAAAACATGTGAAAACCTTATGTAAAGAAAGGCATCAATTGTCATTTGGGGAAAGGTACACATTTTTTGAAGATCCTGAGTACTAGGTATTATCACTACTAGAACCACAAACTTCTTCAACCAACTTCTTTTGGTATATTCAACTACAACTTTCTAAGTTGTAGTTGGACTACTTTCATGTCTAGTTATACACGATAGCCCAGTTAATTGCCCCCTAAGTCAGGTTGTAGAATTTGCAAGAAACCAGGTACAGTAACTTTTGTGGTTAGCTTTATAAATTTAGGGTGCTTATAAAACAAACTATATAAATAACCTATAGGAATAATCATCTGAATTCCTAAAAGCAGAGAATAAAAATAACTAAATGTTTTTCTTTAATCTGTTGTTTATTAAGCAATAAACTATATATATATTTGAGAAATCAAAATACACCCTTTTCTCTAGATTAACAAGACACTTCTAAGTATGAAAACTAAACTAAAATGCTCATTGGTGAGGTAATATTCAGTCTGGAGTGTGGGTAACTTGGGTAATGTCTTCTAATGACTTTTATAAAGCATATTTCTTTATTCATTGATATTTCTTTATTCAATCTATCCCATACTAATGTGCCACATTTTATAAATGTAATGCCTTTGCTCAACTATATTATATACTCAAATGTAATCTAAATTTAAACTGATCCTTTAAGAAAAAATAAGTGTTATATAATATTGTGAACTGTTTAGCTTTATTGAAATATTTAAGAGAAAGTGCCTCACTGCTAAAGTGCATTTCTGTTTTAGATTTACTGCATAAAGTTTATCTGTACCTGTCTCTTATGAATGGTTTCGTATCTAAATAGGCTCTTGTAAATTAGAGTAACCTTTTTTTTTTTTTTGAAGGATTTACATAAGTATATAGATATCACCAAAGACATTTTACTGTTAGTTAATAACCATGTTGGAGAGACAGTTAACAGTTGGAGGTTAGAAATGTTTAGATTACAATTTAATTTTAAAAAGTTAGGCAATAACCTTGATTAATTTCTAAAGTATCACCAAAGAAAGGCTTTATACTGAATTTTCTTGGTGAGGTCAGATACAGGTTTTTCTTGTAATAATCAGAGCACACTTTCTTTCAAATATGTTCATTATTTTTCAGCACCATCTGACAGATCTTAGGAAATCCTAAAAAGTGAGGAAGAGGTAAACAACAAATAGCCTCCCTGTGGATGAAAAGTGAGAGAAATACAGACTTTGAAAAGAAAATTGAGATTTTTAAATTTTAATTTGAGAAGCGTTTTATTTCCTGGAGACAGTATAAACTAAAATTAAGCTTATTTAACTCCTGGGTTCTTCGTAATATGAGGAATTTTATTAAAGACAGACTTTGGTAAATGTGCTGATGTGCTTATTTAGAAGAGAGTACATTCTATTGGACTTGTATAAGTGTTTTTTCTATATTCAGAAACAAAATTTTCATAAGGGCCTGTGGTCCGCCCCCTAAAAAGTAACTGTCTTCTCAGCAATTGGTTTATTATTATTAGAATTTAGCCATGCAACCAAATTTGGTGAAATGGGGTCACAGAACAAGCTTGTACATCAAAAAAAACTTCAGTACCTTCCTTACACCATTTCTTCTTGGCAATGCATGCCCATGGGCCACCTTAAAACTCATATTTAAAGTCTTTCTGGCAGGTCACTAGGTAAATCTCCTTGGGCAGGATAAAAATGGGTGCACACTCTATTACATGTTTTGTCTGATTTATCATAAGGAATTTTCCAGCAAGCTAAGCTTTATACCAATAAGATGTTGGTTGTAGGAACTTCAAAAATGAGTTTGCCAAAACTTTAATTTCTGGATTAGAAACACAAAAACTTGAAATGTTATTATTTTAAGATATATATTCCTATAGTTTGGGGAACAATAAGGAACAATGTCTGCTAAATCTGATTTATGAAAAATCGAAAAATATTAAATACACTAGAGACTCAGAAACCCTTTCAAGGCACAGAATAACCAAGTGTTTCTGGATTTACTTGCTAAACCTAGGTCAGTAATATTTTGATGGAAGACATCAGAGTAAAGGTTTATTAAAATGTACTAAAATATACAAGGTTTCATAGTTTTGTTTTTCTTACAGTGGTGGTTTTCCAGTAATTTCAAAGTGATTCTTTCTAGTTTAATAGTTATCACAAATGTGTTTACTTACTGTCATATTTTCAAATAAGAATTAAAATGCTTGAGCACTTCCTTTTCAGAAAGTAATAAAATTAAAAATTTATTTTTGATGCTCATTCAAATCTGTCTATCCCTCGTTATGCCCCTTTTTCTATGACTCAAAACTGATTTTCCAGAATTGCTTTTTAATTTTAATTACTTTTAATCTAGAATCTGGTGAAACATAAATGTCAAATACTGGGTTTAGTTTTCTTCCATCTTGTAGAGCTTCATGCAGTAAGAAACCAATATAGTACAAATGAAGATTAAATGTTTCATTAAATGAAGATTAAATGTAGAGATAGTAAGCAGATTTATTTATCCATACAGTCCACTGGAGCAGGAGTTCTACACATTAAAAATGTAATGGGATCAGCCTAACATTGTTTGGGGTCAGTTTCTTTTTGCTGTAATTTTTAGAATGGGGGTGGGGGCCTAAGTGTCCTTATGAAGCTGTGGTCCTCGACGAGTGCTTGGAGGGGGGAGTACCAGTGTTCTGCTGCTTTCCTGCATCTGAGCAACACAACAGAGAGCATCAGTTTTTAATAGAGTAGCCCTCACAGTAAATAAAATTATAGAATATATTGTAAAGTTATGTTGCTAATTTTGTCAAAAGTGGTAACATCTTAATACAAATAAAAACCTTTTTGTGGTTGTAAGATTTAGCTTATAAATCATTCAAATTGAAGTGAAAGAATTACCAGGTCATTGTTAATGACTTAGTCTATTAAGAATATATGTATTTTTGTAAAGGAAAAGCACTTGTAGATATTTAATCAGTACAAGATACGTCTTTTGCAGAAATGCTGCTTAGAGATTCTCTTTAAATATTTTTTATTTTTGTGCTCAAATGTATTTTCTGTTGATCTATGGAATGTTCTGTACAAAGCTGTATGATTGTACTGTTGGGCTAGATACTTTTTTTTTTAAATCTGGACTCTTAGCCAAGTATATTTGACCATGTTAAAATATAGTTATCTTTGTTATTAAAAATTTGATTGCATAATTTACTGTTGTTTGTCATCTTTAATATTAGTAGCTGTAGCTTGCAACCTTCATTAAAAATGTCTCCTTTAAGTACCACTGTAACAAATTGTATTGGAAATTTTGAGATCATAAACATTTTCTAAAGATTATTCAGCTATTCAGTCTTAGGATAGTAGACCACCCCTCAAATAATACTTAAGGTGTATTCTCTCTCTCTCTCTCTGAATTGTTTCATTAGATCAATTAAATCCAGAAAATCTTCTGAAAGTAATTCAGAACCAAAAGTAGGGCCCAAGTGAATTGAGAGACTGTTTCTTTCAGCCAGTTAGATACCTTAGCTCTGTTTTAGTAATACCTTCCCTATACCCTAGGGTCAGGAATTCTAGTTAGACTAAAGGGTGACATTTAAACTTTCCTAGGTTTTGATGGTTTCTGTCCCTGCCCCATTGTTATTTTGGTGCCTAAAGCTTTTTCTTTTGTCTGTGAAACCACAGAGGCAACTAGAAACCCCAACACTTCTGGGAGACACAGAAAGTAGCTTTTTTCCGAGCAGAATGTGGCTTCCTTCTGTATTCCAGCTCTGCTCTCCGGGCTGCTGCAGAATGGGAAAGAACATGGAGGATTGTGCATGGAAGTGCTCAAAAATGTATATGTTATTTTAATCACATGTCATTGGCCAAATGCGGCCGCACTTAACTGCAAGCAAGGCTGGAGAGGGCCTAGTAAAGCCATGTCCTAACAAGGAGAACAGTTCTGTGACCTGCTAATTAGTCTGCCACACCTCCATTTCAGAAAAGGTTTCCCCAGGTCTTTGAAGTGTTTTGTGGGCACAGCCCAAGCTCTGATCTTTCCACTAGTTTGGAAGGGGATGGAGGGTTCTTATACTCAGCCTAGGCCTGAGAAAGTCAGCCTCTGCTTTCTGTGTGGCTGGGGAATTTGCAGTTATTTTGCCGCAAGCCATATAGAACCCTGCTTGACACGCCAACCGTTGCCATGGAATTTGGGGTGCCAGGATACCCACCCCAGCAATCAAATGGAGAATCATGTCCAGAAAGAATAAATACACAGCAATCACTGTTACTCAACTGGGTCCACCACCCATAAAGACTGATACACCAAGAAACAGCAGGGGTTGCAGTGGAGAAAGTTTAATGTTGTAAGATGCCAGGCGAGGAGATGGGAGTAATTTTTCAAATCCATCTCCTGGAGAATTTTGGGGTTAAGATTTTTAAAGGTGGTTTGGTAAAGGAAGGGCTCAGGAATTGGGTCAGCTGATTGGCTAGAGATGAACTCATAGCATTGGGAAGCAGAATTGTCTTCTTGGTAAACAAGTTCCTGGGTAGGGCATCGTGGGGCTCAGGCAGGACTTGCTAGATGGACTCCCACGCACGGCCACCCCAACGCAAAGTCCAGAAGATCCCTCAAAGACCAATCTTAGTTTTACAATAGTGATGTTATCTATAGAAGTGGTTGAAGAAGTCACAGATCTTGCCCCTGTCAAGGATACGCAGTAAGCAGTTACAGCAGTAAGGAATTGGGGAACAAAGGCTGGGTAACTTTTAGCTATTTCTATACCTCTATAAAAATCCTACTTTTATCACTATTCCTGCCATATGGCCTTAGGTTATTTTAATATAGCCAGTTTCACCACTACCAGTTGAAAGCAGCTAAAGCCCTGTTTCTCCTTAAAAAGCCCTGCTCCTCCTACAAACCATGCTCCTCAGGAATTCCATGTTCCTCCTTAAAAAACAATGCTCCTGCTAAGGAAGTCTACGCTCTAAAGAACCTTTGGTCCTCCTAGGAAGCCCTGCTCCTACAATTACCTGTTCCCATTTACAGTGCCCTGCTCATCCTTACTACGGTTCACTCATAGAGCAAACCTGCTCCTCCAACAAACCCTACTCTTCCTACCAAGCTCGCTCCTCCTACAAGTCCTGCTCATTCTTATAAAGCCCGCGAACCTTCAACAAATTCTGATTCATATTTACAAAGCCCAGCTTATCCCTCCAGAGCCCTACGTCTCTTTACAAAGCCCTGCACCTCCTACAAAGCTTGTTTCTCCTTGCTGTTGGCCTAAAGTAATATAAAACTTAGCAAATTTAATATAAGTAGAGAGTTTACTTGGACCAAGTTTGAGGACTGCAACCCTGGAGTATAGATTCTCGTTGCCCTGTATATACACTGATTAGCAGCAACTACAAGTGGGTTTTTAAAGGAAAAGAAGAGGCAGTTCCTAGATTGTTTACCAAGAATTTACATTAAAACAACAAGCTATTGATTGGCTGTACATTGTTCTTTGTACAAATTCCAGGAACAAGAAGGTAATGGCAGAGTCAGCTAGTCGGGAACAAAATGCCTTTAAACCATTCAATTGCCCTGAGCCTGGGTGCAGGGTGGGGAGGGCGTGCTGAAGTCCCATGCTCTCTCTGGGCCTGATAAATTTTGCTGTGCTTAGACATCTCTGAGCTGTTTTCCTTACTAATCACAAAGCCCTCCTCCCCTGCATTTCATTTCCCTATTCCTCCTAGAAATCCTCCCTTCCCCTGTGCAAAGCTCCGCTCATCCTTACAAATCCTACTTCTTCAAAGCCCCAATTTGCCTACAAACCCTTCTCCTCCTTATAGAGGTCTGGTCCTCCCCACAGAGCCTTGCTCTTCCTACATATCCCTGCTCCTTGGGAAGCGCTGACACTGCTACATGCCCTGTTCTTCCTGTATCGGCTCTTCCCTGCAAAGCCCCCTCCTCCATATACAGCCCTGCCCATCATGCAGAACCCTGTTTCTTATTAAAAAACCCTCCCCTTCCTACAAACTGGTCTCCCTACAAATCCCTGCTCCAGAAAAAGCCCTTCTCCTCCTTAGAAATTGTGCTCCTCATGCCAAGCCTTGCTCCACCTTCCAAAAGTTTGCTCCTCCTCAGCAAGCCTGGTTCATCCTAAACAGGCCAATTTCCGTCCCATCACCTCACGCGGGCTTATCCCACTTCCCTCCCTCTTCCCAACACTCAGCTCACTTTTCACAACCACAGTCACAGAGGCTTGTTTCTCCTCCCACTAGCTAATGAGATTTGAAAGGAGGTTGACTTCATTGTGGTGTTCTGTCCCTACCATCACAAACACACACGCTTGCACGGCACCTGGCACCAGTAAACAACAGGGAGAGAAACCTGATTTCAGGAACAAGTGTTGCCTACAACAGCCTTCCCCAGTTTGCCGGGCAGTTTGCCAGTTTGCCCAGTTTGCCGGGCAGTCTCCCGCCTCCCCACTGGCTCCATCTCTGACTTCAGAACCTGCGTGTGGTAAGTGTGAAAGGTGCCAGGTGAGCCTTTCTTCCCTTTAAAAACAGACACCCTGATCCTCTTGTGTAAGATCTCAAGATTCGTTCCTTTGGTTGACGATTGTACCCTCTTTCAGTGGAGGTCCCCTGAGAAAGCCTGTGTGCCATCAGATCCTTTGCCCCACCTGCTTTGGTGAGCCTCTAGAGATCATTAGCCAGAGTACATGCTTGCAACTAGGGCCCGAGTGGCAGCCCTGGGCGGGAAGGAAGGACGCCCTCGAAAGGAAGCCCATTCCATGCGGCGTCTGCCGAGGGAGGCGGCATCCCGGCGGCTACCCGCTAGATTGGGAGCAGCTCGCTCGCTGCAACCTCCTCTCGCAAACACACCTCCCTCTGCACCCTGGCCTGTAAGTGCTGGGAGGGCAGAAGTGTCCTCCTTTTCTCGCCATATCCCCAGCTTTATATATCACCAGGAAGTACTGGGTGAATGGGGGAAGCAGCGAATTCTTCCCATGTCAGAGGCTTGGGCTCTGGCTCAGTGCTATGCCCCCAGCAATCCTCTGGTCACCGCTGATGTGATGATGCCATCAAGTCCCCAGCCAGCCTCTCTTTTCCCTCCCTTCCTGTTCCTCTTCTCCAGAAATTAGCTCACTGGTGCTCTAAGCACGTAAAACCCATTGGGGCAGGTCACCTGCCGGACTGCCCGGCCTCAGCAGGGCCGGCTCTGTTCTTAGCTCCAGGCCGGCTCACAACTCACAACCGAAGGGTAAGGACTGGGATGGCAGGAGGCAGGGGGAGGCAGAAGGGGGGGCGGGGACAAAGCAGGACAAGCCACTGGGCTATGAGGGAAAGCAGAGCCAGATGTTTCTGTCTTTTCTCTCCTTTCTGCAGTTTCTTCAGGCTCATTATCTCCTACCTCTCTCTCACCTTAAGTTTTCCCTCTTCTGAATTGCTCCTCTACCTGCACTTTGAGTTCACCTCTCTATTCCCTCCCACGTTGGTCTCTTCTCTGTTCCCCACCACTTCTCACATTCTCCTTCCTTTGCCCGCCTGTTTTCCCCTGCCTCTTTCTCCTCATCTGTTTTCAGTTCCTTCCTGTCATTCCATGGACTCTTGTTAGACCTTCTTGTTCTCTTTCTCCTTTTTCCTTCTCTTCATCCTCCTCTTCTAGGCCATTTTTGGGTTGTTTTTTGGTTTTCTCTTGGTCTCCTGCCCTACCGCAGGAGTCGCTCTCCTCCGCAAACCAGATTTCCACCCTCCTCTCACACTCACTCACTCACACACTCACACACACACACACACACACACACACACACACACACACACACAGGTGGAAACAGCAGAGAGCATCTTGCGGGAGCAACTGAGCTTGGATCCTTCAGAAGATGCTGCCGACCTCTAGCCAGACCTTCTGATCAGGCCCAAGGACCAGCATGATCACCATCTCTTTCAGGGGTGTGATCATGTATCAGTTTCAGGCTGGGTAACTTAAACAACAGAAGGTATTTTCTCCAAGTTCTAGAGGTTTTCACTCCAAGGTCAAGGTGCCGACAGGTTCGGTTTCTCCTGAGGCCTCTCTCCTTGGCTTGCAGATGGCTGCCCTCCCACCCCTAGTGTCTCTTTCTCTTCTATCAAGGCCACAAGTCGTAGTGTGTCAGGGCCCCACCCTTATGACCTCATTTAACCTAAATTATCTCTTTAAAGGCCCTATTTCCAAATACAATCACATTCTAAGTCTCTGAGAGTTA